CTATAGAATCTTCTCTTCCACTCTTCACCCTGTATACAAGCCGGACGAAATACAAGTTTCTCACCTACCTTTCGACTAAACCCCCAACGATTAAAGTCCGGCGAACACCTATCCATTACATTATTACCACCTACGCCTGCCTCTCTATCATTATGCATACGTAAGACGCGTTCCATCGCGCCGTATCCTCCCTCCACGTATAATCATATTATCCGCCGCGCAATGGCTCGTATTACACCATAATTTTCCGCCCACACGATTCCGCGTGTCGGCCTCACGCATCATCGGACCCGTCCAAGAACCAACCGACCGCGGTTGGTTCCGCTCTACGGCGACATTGCGCATAACGACGAGATACATGGTGACACGATCGGGTAAATCGATCGCACGGATGGATGGGATACGATACCAACCTGCTGGTTCAATATGTCCCACGTTTGAAGCGGTGGCTCGGCCTCTTGGTTGCGCGACGTTGGCCTCGGTTGAGCGTCCCTTTGCACCAGATAAAGGGGCCTCGATCCCCGGATGGCGTCGTGATCCGGCAAAACTCCGGCCGCGGACACCGGCTCCTCCACGTGATATTGCCAAACCACTTGCATCGTGTCGTTCTGGAACACAAAGAAGGAAAAACTTGCTGAATTTCGAGGGATGGAAAACGTACTCTCTCTCTCTCTCTCTCTCTCTCTATCTATCTATCTTTCTTTGGCCGAGGAGTCGAGACCCGGTTAAGGGGAGCCCGCTCCTTCATTTTTGTTATCGAAAAATATCGATAAGGAGGGCTTACGGAGGCACAAAGGCCCGTCTTTTATACCGGACTTGCTATAAAAGTCGAAGCCTTCGGGTTACCGGAGGAACGAGGAGGATAAAGCAGAGAGGGAGGGAGGGGGTTGGTTGGAAACTCTCTTTCACGTTCAAATTCCGCAGGCGTATTCTCAGAGGCGGCTCCTCGGCCGAAGGACCGGCGCACTCGACCGAGAATTTTTAATTTAACCCTTTTTATTTCGCAATATCCCCGGCCGAATCGCATATTGCAGTTACGGCCGGCCATCTCGAAAGGGGGAAAAAGCGTTCCCGTGTACGCCGCGTTAACCTGTGTCCCATTATCGAAGGCTCTTCTATACCTCCTCCCTCCTCCCCCATCGCTTTTAGGCTAAGCCTCCCCTGTGCCGCCGTCTATCCACCCATCGATCGTTCTCCATTTATCTATTTTTATTTTTCAAAGAGCGGGAAACGAATGAAATTGGCGAATAAGTTGATTAGTCAAGTTTGGCAATGGAGCATCAAGCTTCAAGTTTTCGACACGAAACGAATGAAATGGATCGGGAAGGGGAAGTTTGATCATTCTTGCAAACGAATATTTCCCTTCGCGTGGAATTTATCGCGATTCGATTATACCGGCCGGTCTGAAATTAGATAGTCGGTCTTTCTCTCTCTCTCTCTCTCTATTTATCCGCCATCTTCGAAATCAATCTCTATCGGTGGACGAACAACCGAATCACCGAGTTATCGGGGTGAAATTAATTAATCCGTCGATTCGATTGCTCGCCCCCTTGATATGCCCCCTCGCTGCACGCGAAAGAATCGATCGACGCCCGAAAGACGTGTGCATACAATCGTTGCGATTCGATAGAATAGGTAGGAGGGAGAGAGAGAGAGAGAGAGAGACTGTCCGTCGATAAATATGTCGGGATAATCCAGCTAGTAATCGGTTCCACGGGGCCGGATCCCAAAATTAAGAATTACGGGGCGGATTCATTTGCCATTCGCATCTCTGTGGAGAGGCCGCCGACGTTATCTTCATGAAAACGTTGTATTTACCTGGCTGCTGGCGCCGGTCCAAGCGCAAAATAGTGTACGCTTGGTTTTGTACCGAGGCCGGCGAAATTAGTAGCGGGCCGCCAGTATACTCGTTTTTAACATTTTCGATTAAATTGTGTATGAAATCTGCACGTGCAGATCCGCCTCTTGACCACGACCACCAGCGAATATCAGAGAATTTGAAGGATCGCGTGGAGCCAAGGTTTCGTCTTTGTCTCATTATTCCCGCAAGCCACGTATATTGTACGTTATTAATACTCGCAAATAAGAGAAAGGAACGAATCGATATAATGCGTATTTACTTTACAACGATTAAATTTCATATTATTTCATATATATTGGAAAAATGAAACATAGATTCTGATAAAAAAAAACTATTCTCTTTGAAAAACACACACGCACACACACATATCGTTTATTGCGTGTAACAGAATCGAAGACAGACTTATACACAAACAAGAATCAAACTTCGTCTTCGTCAATAATGAAAAAACGGAATTGTTTCATCTCTAAGAGCAACGACCAATTACATCGATCGATATCTCCTCGATGAAAAGAAGCGCACACGTCAAAAGCACAGGTCCAACTGTTTTTTTAAATAACCCGTTCCCGCAGCTTTACCGCGAAAACCGTCGCTTCGCTGCGGGATTACTTGGCCAAGCCTCTTCCCCATTTAATAAATATGCCGGCGAGCGCGTGTCCGGTTTATTCACGTGCCTCGGCTCGAATTTTCCCACGTGGACGCGCGCGAGCAATCAATCGCCGCGCCATTTTCATCCGCGAAAGTTTTAGATACGGGCGTGCACGTCTCGGGGATGAATCGAGCGCCGATAATCCGGCGAACGAGCAAAGAAGGGATGGTGGCACGCGTGTCCCCACGCATTTCCATGCGGTGGCCGACCTCGAAACACGCATATCGATCAACGCGTTATGGGTCTCGACCACTCACAATTTCGAACAATCACGCTTGATTGAGGCCAGATGCCTCGTTAATGTTTCATTTGGAAAGAGGGATGGAACGCATTATCGGACGAGGTATAAACTGATTAGAAAGATTTGTCGCCAGGATACTCTTTCTTCGTGCATCGGCGAGATCATTGCTTGATTAACGTTTATTTGATTTGGAAAGATGGATCTTGTGGGATAAAGAGCTAATCTGTCGCAGAACGATAGCAGTTTTTCTTTAATTATTATCTTCTTCTGGTATTCCTTCGAGTGTCTGTTGTTTTTTCTGCAACGAAACGTGCACCAAATTCAAAATCAAATTAGTGCTGTGCCACGGTTTTCGACAATCGTCTCTATTGAATCGATCCAGCTTAAGAATCACCGCGGCTATCGGTGCATCTACGCTCGTTCCAGGCCGAGACAAGTGAATGCCGTTTAAGTGAAATAGGTATCCAGACGACCTACATCTCGGGAGAAGATCGAAAAATTTCTAAACGAAGAAATGGAAAGTCGATAGGAGGAAATGGGGATCGCGTGAGAGGAATCACGCGATCTCGGCCCAGCCCGGAAACTATCTTTGACGACGTAATACGGAGCCACGCTTCTCCTCGTTTTCCTCTTCGTGCGTTCGAAATTTGTCCGATCATTAAGAAAATTAAACGTGTCGCGTGCTGAGAGACGATAGATAAAGAAGCGGTCAACAAAAGAATCTTTGCTATTTTCTTTTTTTTTCTTCTTCTTCTTCTTTGCAACAGCAAAGACACGAAAACGATGAATGAAGCTAGAGAAGCTATTTCTACTTTACTTGAAATTTTTATCCTCGGTCCAATTATAATTAAATTGTTTCCTTTCGCTTTTTAAAAAACTTCAAATTTGCATAAATATCCTCTCCTGATTCTCGCATTGTTCCCAAACATTTATGAACGTTTCTCGAATAGATAGGAAAAGAGAGGAGAGTCAGAGACAGCCATTCGAGTTTAGCCATCGAATGAAAGTCCATTATAGTCAAAAATTCATTTCGTTTCCAAGAGGTTTCATTAAAACGCGAGATTGAATCGAAGGTTATACTACACTCTTTCGACCGGGCACTGTCAATAGTCCGTGGAGGGGTATTCTTAACGTTTCGGGAGGAACAACGGGGAAGGATTAGGGGAGAAATGGGGAGCAATTCCCGTGGACAGGGAGCAAAGGAGAGGAAAAGACTTGCCGAGAGAATTCCCGGTTAAGTGGAAATATCTTTCCTTTTGCCGGGAACGTTATTCTTCATTAAGAAACTTTGTTGTTCTTCACTCTCGAAACGCGGAAATCTTCCCTCCGTTTTCCCTTCACCTTCTTCTTTGCGCCACCCTTTGCATCACCCTTATCCCCGTGCGTCTGTCTCACGAGAGCTCATAGCTGGCGATTATCCTGTCCAATAGTCGTCGAATCCGGGACGATCCCATTTGGAAGGTTAAAGATGTCGTTCGCGATGCGAGGCAAACGAGTTCTTTCGAGGACCCCGAGCCGTATCATAAAGGATTTAACCCACGATTTAACCTCCCTCCCCTCTTTCAACGTTGTCGTTGGATGGAAGGCTTGAATGGATGGGAAGAGGAAGGAGGAAAGAGTATTGAGAATTGAAAACGACGTGACCACAGATAGACGTCCGTTTTAATTGTGTTTTTTAACGGTACGGCGTAAAAGTTTTCGATTTAATTGCTTAACGGTGTTACAAGAGAGCGAGGAGGAAAGAGAGGAAGGAGGGGAGAGAGAGAGAGAGAGAAGGCAGAAAGTTCCAATATCTTCGTAACAATGAGTTCGAAGTCACAAAGGGTCCAGAGGGAGAGTCAGAGGGGCAATGCGAGAGAAAAGAGATTAGTCAGAAGTCCGAATACCGTAATGGATCGCGAGAACGAGCCTTTTGTCAAAGCGATTCGCCCCGTTCCGCGTAAGTTCGTTTGTTTCCCTTTCCTCGCCTCTCTCCCTTTCCATTTTCCACCTCCTTTGCGCAATGCCATCTCCTCGAAACCTCCTCGCGATTAACCATTCGGTACCGAATGCAAGAAGGCGAATGCTCCAATTTCACAGACCCTCCCCTCTCGAGGGGAGACGTCTGAGTCTGTGTGCGAGAGAGGGAGGCAGATACCCAAATACCTCGCCTTATCGCGAGAAAAAAAGCTCGTCTACGGCACTTGCCTTTGACCTAGACTCGAAAAGCTTGGAAGGGCCAGGAATCTTGGAACAGCCTCCATTTTCCCTTGGAAATTTCCGTATATTCAAATGGACGTTTGAATAGAGAATATCCTAGTCCTCATACAATATGGATCGAGATGCAGATTAAACGTGTATTCCCGAAACGAGAACAAAAGGATCGCATTGACTTACGATTTTGCCGAAGGAAAAATAAAATAAATAAATAAAAAAAGGAAAAAGAAAGAAAGATTATCGTCGAAAACATCGAATACCCAAAGTGTCTCCAACTTTGTATGTATCAACGTCTCGAATGAATCGTTTTCACGGACGACCGGACAGGGTTGGTCCCTCGAATCGGAGAGAACGGCTCGATCATCACCATCGCGAGACGAAACTTCGTCAGAAGTAATAAAAGTGTCCATTGGCCCGAGAGATCGCGTCACACGTGCAAAATACGAGAGAGAGAGAGAGAGAGAGAGAGAGAAGAGAGGTGGGAGTAAGTAAAGTTGTAGAAACGT